GTCCTGCCTGATCTTCTGGCTACACAGGCAGCCAGTTTCTGTGAGCTTCAGTGTGTGTTCAGTTCTGTGGGTCCAAGTGCTTACATGTCTGTATATTCTTTTGCTACCATTTCTAGTGTGGTTATAGTTGTGCTTGTGCAGCCGTGCATGTGTATGTGCGTGTGTGAGAGAGCCATCTAATCGGGACACAGGAGAGGAGCTCCCCCTCTGGCTGTATACTGAAGCAGTGAGCTGAGCAACAGATGTGTTCGCTAGATGGCTAACCACCTTAAACCTTGACACCAGTGCTACTACCTGCTTACCATACATGCAGCAAAGCAGATCCTGGCAACATGCTGCATGTGGTAATATTATAGCTGCTACATGACAATGCTTGGAAAAAACAACTGGGAATAAAAGTACCGTTGCCGAACCCAAAGATGAGAAAATCAGCTGTGTCCATGCACATTATTCAAGACCACATTTATTCTAACCCCAATATTGAATTTTCAGACTAGCGTGAAAAATGTGTGGCAGTAGCACTGAAGACATGGCTATTTTATATTGTTTGCCAGTTTTTATTATTGAAAAGAAATATGAGGAGACAACGTTGGCTGAACTGAACACCTAATTCATCTGAGATGATAGGATGAGTCTGAATGGATTTTCTTTGACGATGCCAGACCTGTAAAGGAGGCTACATGGGAGAGATGCAAGAGAGAGGTTGGAGGTTGATTGCTGATTTCCATTTCTATTTCTAGGACAAAGAAATGGAGGGCTGATGGGCTGGGATTGTCTATTTAGATCCATTTCATTCTGCCATAATCAGGCCTTAGCCATGCCCTAATACTCAGGATTAGAAAAGGTTCAAAGTGCAAACATCCAGATCTCCCAGTATTATTCCAGTCTGCCAGCCTCACTGTATGTATGTGTGTACATGTGCCTGGCCATGCACACATGCCAGATCTGCTGGGGAGGGTTATCTCTGGAATCAGGCCCATAAACCTAATCTAACCCTCTCTGTGCTCATTCAGGAGTGAAATATTTTGTGCAAATAGGCTCTTTTCCTTCTCCCCACTCTGACTCTGATTCGCTAATGTAAACAAAAACCGAGATAGGAATATTGCAGGTATGAGAAATAGCTATTTCAGGTGTGATGCTCTGTTTGATACAGACACACACACACCTGACAGGCTGTGTTTAGCCTCCTGCTTTGCCTGATGTGGATGAAACAGCTCTGTGTGCTGGTCTTTTTTCTTGATGAAGGGAAGTGTGAGTGATCAGACCATGGTTGTGCCTGTTTATGTATTTATCTTTTTTGTGTGTGTGGAAAATGTAGACATTATTACTGGTGGTTACTGTGACTACCTGCTCAGCTTGTCTAAGTGGAAGTCTGAATGCTGTGGAGAATGGGGCGGTGTGTGAAAGGTAGCCAATGAATGTCACCTCTCATCCACTTTCTCATTAAACAGCCTGCTCTCTGTCTGTCACATGGACTGTGTCTGTCCCCTCGTTCGGTGCTTCGGGCAGAAATTGCACACGCGAGCATGCATACTCAGGCATAGACACTGGAGCACATGCACACATGTACACACGGCCCTTTACGCTGTATGAAAGCAGCCCCTCCCCAGGCTGGATGGGAATAATAAGCAGCAGATGATTCATGATGGAGAAAAAAAAACAGCAGGACCACCTGAGTGACCTCATTTAGCAGACCCGAGAATAAATATAGACAGCCACATCACACTATAGCATTAGCTCGTGTCGCCTCGGACAGTCAGCACAGCGTCTTTCACACATCTCCCACTCTTCTCCTTGTAGCACCTCGGGGAGCAGTCCTTCCACCGCACCCCGAATGTCATTGTGAAATCTGCATGCATTTGCGTATAAGGGTGTGCATTCATAAATGCATGTTAATGTGCTAGCTGTGGTGTTTTATGTGTGTGGTAGTCACAGGCTCATTTTCCTGTAAAGCTTTCTCTTGGCTGATACAATTGTACTGTAGATATTTCCCAACATCAAAATTTGGCACCTGGTTTCTCTTATGACTTCAGCAGCTGTAGATCTTTTGTTCTCCCACTAGTCACTCTGTGGCCAATGATCCACACCCACAAAGAGGGCCTTAAATCATACAAAACCCCCTCTCTGGAGCCGACCGCTTTATATAAAAAACAAAAAGCAACATTCCTTCATGCAATGACCACTTCTTTTTGTATTCTGGACCGCAAATGTTCTGAACTGGTTTGTTCCACTAAATCATTAGCAGCAGACAGGGACTTTCTTTGTTCTTCGCCCTGTCGTTGCTAAATCCCCTTGTGTTTTTATCTCCGCCGAGACACACCGGAAGACCCAATTCCCCAGTTTCCTCTTTCCAAAACACGACATGACCGTCAGCCTTTTAATATCTGAAAATCCAGATTTGGATTAACGTCAGTATGCAGGGATGAAACAAGAGAGGGGCAGAGGGTTAGAGAGCTAGGCAAAACTGAACGAAAAAGGGTTAGTGAGAGGTTTTCAGATAAAAAAAAAAGCTGGCAGTGGGTCCTTGTGGTGGGGTAGGGTTAGGGAGTTGGACAAATGTGGATGGCAATCATCTTTTTTTTTGAATGAACTCTGACATAATAGATGTAAATACACTGATAACAGGCAGGGGTTAACAGACACAGGAGTGTGTGGTGCCTACAGTAACAGCCTGCCAGATTTTATTTTCTAAGGATTCACCACACAGTCGTATGTGTAGCTCATTCCAGTCTTCAATAGTGCTTAAAGATGAATTCACATAAGGAAATGTGGTTGAAATTGGACACGGTTAATCGGATTATGACTTTCTAGTGGTGCATTAAAGACACTGAATTATTTGACATTTTAAATGGCCTGAATACAAACAACATAAAAAGTGATCACCTCTTTATAAATCCAGCTCTTTCAGTTGTTCACCTAAACAAAAACCTCGAAGGGCCAACTTATCATCATGCCACATCAGTAATGCACGAGTCTGTTCAGCCAGCCTGAAGGAATAGTTAATTTAGATGACAGAAGCAAGTTAACGCTGAGAAGATTTGCTCTCCCCGAGTGGATATAAAATTCATAGCATGACGCTCACTCTTAGTCAGAGTATTCAAGCTCCTTTGAGCTTGATCTTCAAAGAGCTCATTTTTTGCATAACCTTGCCCTGGAAGTTTCAAAATTGAAAAAAGAGGAGAAATTGTGTGGAAAATGGCAGGATGAGGTTAGCACTCGTGGCAACGGCTGGGACATTTAGGGCTGCGGGGCAGTGTGCCTTTAAGACTGGAAACAGGCCTGCTCACCTCACTGTCTCTGAATGTTCCCTTTACCGGAGACATGCTCCCTGCAAAGACTTTACATAAATCACACGAGTCGCTTCGCCTTGAGTGTTCATTCACATTAATGTCCTACGTAAATTTAACTTTTTTTTTTTGTTTCTGTGCTGCGCTCAGCGCCGCTGACCCTGCATGTTTTTTTCAGTGGCTCGTGTTGAGTCTACAGCGCCGAAGAGCTCCTGACACAATGTTATCACAGTCATTTTCACAAATTATCACATACTCCGGCCACACTAACAAAATATTGTGGTTCTCTTTGTAATTTAGTGCCTGAGTATGATCTGATAATGTAACCTAATTTTAGTGGAATTCATTATTTAGTTTTCTTCAATTTTGCCAGTGTACAAAGCTGAAATCCCACAGGGCACCAGAATGTCAGCGTTAATAATGCTTAGGAATGACAAGGCATGAATCAACTAGATGAGCTTTTCCATAACTGCAGAGCTCAATTTCTACACCGCTTGATATAACATCAGTTTAGTAGTGGGGAAGCTCATGTAGAAACATTGATACATCACGTCAGCAAAGCAAGAATTTCAGTGTTTGAAGTGCATTGTTTGGACCCACCCACCCCGTTGTCTGTAGCAGTCTGCCTCTGCTTGTATCATCATTAGATAAGCACCCTCTCCAAGACTATCTCATCATAATGAGGGTGCCATCTGAAGCAATCACCCAGGGAGATGGCCACTGAGTTATGGGGTGGGGGGTTAGAGTCGGCACAGATAAAAAATTAAATGAAGTGAGTGGAAAAAAAAACACAGAGAGACCAAAGGGGATATTGTAAGGAAGAGAAACAAAAGCGTTTCAGAGGAAAGGAGTAAGTGAAAACAGCAGACTAAGCGGAGATGGAAAGCATTTGGGGAATTCCAAAATTAGAGCTGCCATCGCATGCGCCCACACAGGCGTACACGCACACACACATACACGACTTCCTTAAGCTTAGCCACTCAGTGTTAAGGTCAGAGTCACACTCTGTCTCCCTGGGTCATTATCATGGGCCCTGAAATAGACAGCCAATTGTGTCACAGCGTCTGAAGTGAATGTGACATTGAATAAACAACCCTCGACCCTGAGCTCCTCACTCAAATCAGAGCAGAACACACACACTTGAAAACAAATGGAGAGAAGCTGGCACACGCATGCTCTAATATATAAATGGACACACACACACACACACACACTTGGACGACAAACTTTAATGGAGGCATTTAGCTCTCAGCACTACCAGCAAGTAATGACACATGTGGCTCAGAGGGAGTAAGCTGCTCGAGGACTTGGCAAGCAGCTGGAACTCTCGCTGGCAGGCTTCACTGCTAAACTATGCAGTAAACACAGACACACACACACAGGTCTGACCGTGTTCCTCCTCTCCACCTAAGCACCTACCCTCCCTTACTAGGTTCTAATGTTGTTCCATTCATTTGACTTCACTTTATTGTGTTAATGAGAGATACCGTTGAGAGGAGCTGGCAGTTGATTGAGGGTGAGAACGGGTAATCACTGGAACAGCTAATCAGTGCTTGTCGTAAATATTGATTAGTTCTATGCGTTATGGACATACTCATTAACCAGTGTGTCGTCTTCTCTCCTCCTCTTTCTCCTGTTCTCCTGCTTTTTGTCCCTTTACCCTCCATCACACCTCTCCTTTGTCTCCTCATCTTATTCTTCCCCCTCCTCCAGCAACCTCCAACGGTACGGCCGAGGGCCTGGAGAACCGGGAGGGAGGCGTGTGCAAGAGCCGTGCCATGAAAGTCATCATGAAAGTCGGACAAGGTAAATGTGCGCTCACCTCACATGTAGAACACAACACGGTGCTGCTGCCTTAAAGGCATGTTTCACTTTGGTGTGACATTTTCATTTGTCGCCATGTGTGTCTACCGTGACTTTGTCCGCCACCGGCCTCTGACAGGATCCGCTCTCTAGAACTGTAAAGTTGTGTTAAGAGCAATTAATTGGTCACCAGTGTAAAACGTTTTATGAAATTCTGGTGTAAAAGTTAATTAACTCAATCAAAAATGTAATTAGAAGCTAAAAATAAGTTCGAAACCAAATAATTTTAGTTTAGTCTTTCACTCCTTTTGCCTTGCAATTTTAACGTAGTTGTATGCAAATATATGGATCTTTTTAAGTGTTTATTAATGTATTTGTCAACAAATATAACTTCTCCCATGAAGCATCCACAGCTGGTTTACAAAGGAATAGCTGATAGCACATTGTAACATTTCTGTGATCATATTTAATGATATATATCTACAAACAAATAAGTTATGTGTTTAAAAATAGCTCAATGTAAAGCTGCCATAAAGGGGGCCCAGCTTAATATAACGGAATCACTGTCTAAAAGAGGCAGTTTATAAAGTGAAATTTTTACCATGGTCAGGGAAAGTTCTGTATTCTGATCGGATGGAAGGTCTGGATTAACCTTGCCTTAAACACACACCTATGATCTAGGGTGGATCCGAAATAGCCTACTTGCCAACTACATTAAAATGTGTATGTGAGAGAAGAAGTATGTCCAAATCAGTGACATGCGGTGAGGTTGACAGCTGGTGAGGCACTGACTCTTTTACAGTCAGATTTACAAATACAAATGAACCGTTAACAAATTGTCTGTTAACTGACAATGCGTTATGTTTATCTTCACACAAACGTGACCCATATTTAATTTGATGTTAAAATTTATTCCAGTTGAGCTTATTTCTAACTAGAAATAATAAAAGTTTATGGTCTTACCTTTACTTGTACACGAAATCCATTTGTCAGCTGGTATGTATTACAAACCCTTTTACCGTTCGAATCCAATATTAAAACAAATGTTTTCAATAAAGAAGATCCTTCTGGACAAAAGTGTCCAGACTGTCAAAAATGTTTTGATCGAAAGTCTAGATTTGCGAATTTTCTCATCTTGTAAATGTAATCTTCCATTTTGATAAGGCGGATTGTAAAGGAAATATAAACAAGAACGAAGAAGATTGTAGGTAGCGCAAGAAACTGTGGGCTCACTAGTGCCCTCTGCCTTGAGGCAGGCGTACTGTTTGCCTCACCGAGTAACTTTTTTACTGGGTTTTATGGTTAATCTGCAGCCTAAACACGTTACAGAACTACATTTTATACATTATCCAGATTATGGCAAGGCAGAGCATATAATCAGAGTGTTTGAAAGCATTTTATTTGCGATATATAGAGGGACAGCGACACACTATTTGCATCGCATACAGTTTGTGAGGATTACACGATCCACCGAGAGGCACAGCAAAGTGCTGCCTCATCGCGCATCTCCTCCATGTATTTGAACGGGACATACGGAAACAGTGCTATTCTTTATTGAAAAAAATTCCTTCAACATAAAATATGTACGCAAGTAGTACCCTGATGGCCTACATAACTTCGTAGTATGGAGGGACATCATCCCACAGTGGAGGCAGGGCAGGCTCAAAGCTGTTATACTTTTCATCCTAGGACTGTTATGTCACTTTACTAAATTTTGATATTTTTTTCAGGTGAGAAAATTACTGTCTAGTTTTCAAATATGTGGTCAGTCTATCCAGGTAATGCCAATTTAGAAATTTTCTCCAACATTTTCTGAGATGTGGTGACCTGCTAACATGCCAGCTAGCTAGCTGTACTTAGCAGGCAGAGCTGTAGCCGTTGTGCACGTATTATTATTCAGTAACCTATACTGTACCTGATAAGATGAACACTGTGATGGTTATATAACGCTTAGGCTCAAGTCCTTTGCCAAAATACATTTTACCCTCTCTAACACTTGTTAGTGACCAGTGACAGCTACGCTACTGCTATAATGAAAGAATGAAAAATGAGCGACTGGTGTGTTGTCACGTCGGCATCAGTTGGAGACAAGATGACCGCGTAGTAGCATGTCTGAAGTTGTGCTTACTACATGGTGGACAGGCTGCAGCACCTTCTGCACTTTTACTGGAGTAGTAGACATTCAACAGAAAAATGTACGCTCCTGTGTAGTAGGTGGTTTTGGACACACCTCTAGGCTTCTGTGTGCGGGTTACCATAGCAACAGCACTGAAGCATCAGCACCAATTCTTTGGTCGTCGCATCATTCATTACAATCGTGGAACTTACACTTTGCCAGGTCTTATGCCCTACGAATCTCTCAAAGGAAATAAGTTCAGGATAACTACTAACACAATAACATTCAACTTTTAACTGTCATTGTCATATCAGCAGTTATTTAGTTCATGACTCATACTTTTAACTGTCATTGTCAAATCAGCAGTTATTTAGTTCATGACTCATGTGTTGATAATACTGATGTCAAAGATAGTTTTATACCATTGATTCTGATCCAACTGTACCTTCATAGCTCTAGCTGTATTAGGTCATTGCAGGCAATATTGCATTGAATCAATAAGCAGGACTGCTTCATGGACTGCACTATTGGATTTACAGGATTTTTGTCTTCACTGCAGTTCCCTGATTCCCATCTGGTTAGTGTCTCAACTGAATCACGATGTATTTCAATGTCATTTAAAATTACATATACTGCAGTAGAAGATACCATATTGCCCACCTCTGTTAGTCATATACAGCATTGTTGAATAAATATTTTTATATACATAGAGTTTGTGCAAATAGTGTAGAAAATGAGATAATAAGAAACTGTAAATAAGAAATGACTAAGAAACTTGACTCCACTTCATCGTCTGATTTTCCTCAGCAGTTTCCCAGCCCAATTCTTAAACTTTAATCACAGAATAAAAATATGTTTGAAACTGGTACGTCGGTGCATGGTCGGGGTAAGTCATCTAAAAATGCTGGAAGTAAACAAGTGAACTTTGTTTGGATATCCTTGGGCACAACATTTGGTTCGCATCATGCATTTCACTTTTAGACACAGATATGGGGACGTCCATATCCTGGATTTGACAGGCTATAGTACACAGATGTGTTACTCTGGAACCACGCTCCCCATCCTCAGTGTGCTTGTTTTGACCGAAACATCTGCTCGCCACAATGATCTAATTCCAGTTTAAAAGCTGGATCTCAACTTGTCAAAAATAAACAGAGATTTGCTGAGGAGTGTGTGTGTGTATGTGCGTGTGTATGTGTGTTGGATATGTCTGCAAATGTGTGTGCACATGTTTGATTGTTAGCTAGTGGGATGACAGCAGTGTATCCTGGCAGTCAGTGGAAGAATAGAAGCTAACAAGCTGCTGATGCTAGCAAGGCCTGAACAAATTCAGCAGATACAGTGAAAAATACCCATGACCACCTTGGAAACTGACAGGCATCGCATTATTTTTTCATGTCGGTCAATTTCAGCATCAGCGCTTGCAACACCACCAACAAATGACAACACAGCTGCATGGGTGTGGGCAACACAGACTTTGACTCGAAACTATTAACGATGAGAAAAAAAAAACAACCAAATCCCTGAACTCATGTTAATGGAAGTTGAAGGGAAATGTCTTATTCGAGGAACACTCTAGGAAAGTTCCTCTCAGCCCATGTCTCTTTCTGTGGCCGCCGGCTGTTCCTCAACTTCGCTAGAGCCTTGCACTCATTTCCCAAAACGGTCCAAAGCGAGCTGTCACTCACAATCAGTGTGCCCTAAAAACCTTGTTAGAATAGACGCTGTTAGCCCAGCTGCTACTACTTTTAAATGTATTTCTGTGGGTGGAATTTTTGATGTATAATGTGTCCATCTAACCCAGTAACTATTTGAAAAAGGGCCAAGAGAATTTAGAGCATTGACAGAACCTTTAATTTGGCTGCTGTGGACCATTTAATTGTTTTTCCCGGAAAGTATAAAGATGTTACCATTAGGGAATCAACTACAACCTGTTTTCATTTATTTGTTGATTAGTTCAGTAATATGTCAGAAAACACAAATGTCCAATTTCATTTCCCAGAGCCAATTATAACAATTTCAGATTATTGGTTTTTATTGGACAGTGATGGGATGTAGCTAAGGACATTTACTCAAGTACTGTACTTCAGTACAGTGTTGAGGTACTTTTACTTTACTTGATTATTCCTGTATTAGATGAATGTAGTGATTTTATATCTTATAAAAAATGGTGCATTGTAAACAACTAATCTATACAATGTACTAAAATGCTGCATATTCACTGATGCATGTGATAATAATCAGATCATATAATAAATAAATATAAAAGTAACAAGGGCATTTTTTGATACTTAAGTACATTTTGGTGCTTTCATATTTAAGTAAAAGTATTTATTATACATTCACTTAATTAACACTTTCAACTCCTGACTTTTTTTAATGCATTATTTTTTACAGTGTGGTACTGTATAACTACTTTGCTTAAGAAAAGGATCCAAATGCATCCTCCTCCGCTGTAGCCCAACAGTTTTTCATCATTTCCTCATTAATCAGCAAATCATTTCAGCTGTAGTAATTATAGAAGGGGTGAAATTTGCCGCCCTTAAAAAGAGTGGTATTTTTGATCGACTCTGCTAGCGTTGAAAGGATTTGATTATTGACTAAAGGGTCAACAAACAGTTCATGCTTTGTTCACTGATATATTCAGTCAAGTCATTTATTGAGCAAAATGAATTCAAAAAATAAAAATGCAAACATTTGCTTGTTGTAGCTTCTGAAATGCAGCTAATTTCATCAGTTTTGTTTAATCAGAAACTGAACATATTTGGCTTATGGACTGTTAGACAAAATGACATCATCTGGGGTCCAGAAATTGATCATATCTCTGCATTTTTCACTGTTTTCTTTCAATTAATTAAACCCCTCGAATGAGATTAATAATGAAAAGACTTTATTTGCAGCCCTGCACAAGGAACCTGGGCTCTGTTTGGCTCGGAGCCCAGATGCTATTGTGTTTAAACCACATATCCTCCCATTCTGCAGCTGAATGCCAAAATTTTGTCTAGCCAAGTCCCGAGGAGCTTCACGTGCTGCATGTCCGCTCACCCCTTTTGCACTTTGCACTAGATTGTATTTTAGTGACTCAACACATTCTTTTATTATTACATTTAGCATTCTATTGTGGTGGCGCAATCATGTTGAATCATCTGTTTGTGGGAAATTATGCACCCTGACATGTCAGCGTCTAATTGTACTTTAAATGCCTTGTGTTCCTTTTTTTGTCTTTTTAAAGAGGAAGGGAAAATGATTGAAGGGAAAATACAGTCAGACCATGTTTTATACATTTGTTTCTGTTCCACCTTCTCTTCCCCCTCCACCACCGTCATGTCAATGTGCTCATTAGAAATATGTTGACTCACCTCCTTGCATGCACCCCCCCCCACACACACACACATTTTCTCTCCCTCTACTTCACAATATCTGTCTCCCTCCTCTGTCACTCGATCATTGTCTGCCTCACTTTCATTACTTCTCCCTTCTCCCTCCTTCTGGTGGGCTGGCAGTTCTGAAGTAGTTGCTCTCTGCAAAGCTAAGGGAAATGTCAGCAGTACGCACAGAAAAATGGGTCAGAACATTACAACGCTCCCTGCACATGCTCAGTGGATGACAAACTGTTGGGGCTACAGTATATGAGTGAATCAGATCACTGTGTCCTCACATATCCTCTGCCATGTGTGAATGCTCCCACTTCTCACTCCTGTCTCTTCTCATCAATTATTGATGGGGCACAACAGCTCACGGCTAGGTTCACCACTGGCGTAATCTGCATGGAGCAGTACGGGAGTGACGAGGAGGAGGGGAGATCAATTTGTTAATAATTTGATGTTAAAACGAAATATGAAATTAAGTGGACCCTGCCACCAATTTATGGTCCTTTCTTTCAGTGTCTTTCCTCCTTTTTTCCTGTGTCATTTCAATCATTTGGATCTGCCAGACGTCCCACGCCCAAATCATTTCCCTTCCACAAGTCTCAGGGTAGAAACAGAAAATAGTCTGCTAGACTGTCAGGCCCCTTTGACACACACACACACACACACACACACACACACACACACACACACACACACACACACAAACGGCCACACAAACTTGCCACGAGGGACTCGAATGTAAATTGCCTCCCCGCTCTCCCACCACTCTATTTCTCACACACACCCCTTGAAGCAGACCTTCGGGCAGATGTGGATAATGCTGACAGAGGAGAAGCATGTGATAGCTGACTGTGGAATCCATCCAACCAGCTTCGGTAATGGTTTATAACCGTCTTCCGTCTGCCGGCCCTGCCCTCGTAAAAGCCACGGACCCGCCAGTGTTTACCACACAAGACATTAAAGTGCATGTGCTGAAATCACAAGAGACAGTCAGATAAACTGTCTTGTTTTCTCTGCTTATGCAGCCCCTCCTCTCCTCTTCTCCTCGTCTCCCACTTCTCTTCCTGTCCTCCTGTTCTCTCCTCTTCAGAAGCGTGTGTCTCTCAGACAGCATTAAAGCCAGAGCAATAAATAAGGCATCTTATGGCCTTTTAATGTGATGAATAATGTAAAACAATAAAAAGTTAATATATAAGTATTTTATCCTCATTTTGCCATGCCTAAGTGTGTTGTAAGTATATACTAGGTGTGTGTGTGGGTGTCCTACTCTCTCATGAATGTGTCAGTGTTGGAGCCTGTCTGAGTGTTTGCCGAAAGAGCTGCTGATGTAGATGTAAGCTCATTTTTTACGACAGGACAGGGATACTGGCGCGTTTCACAGGCGTTCGCAAGATTGTCCTTCCTCTTTTTTGTGCTTTCATCTTCACTTCTTTCAGCGCATGCAAAGATAACCTTCTCTGTGTATAAAAGATATATCAAATGATAAAAAAAAAAGTCCTTGCAGATGCAGACGAACCAGTCATTGTAATTCAGTGCATACAGCTGGCCAAGGCTGAGTCTTTCTGTATGTTTTTTGTTCCCCGCAGTCCCAAACGCTGCAAACCCCTCGGCTCCAGAGGATCCAGATGACAACACCATACAGGAGTCCACTCCTAGTCCACCTATACAGGGTCCGATTGGACCTGAGATCCCACGAAACCCTGGTGAGCAAACTGACACACCAACATTACATCTATTGTTTAAACTGCTTCTTGAAACTAGTGCTAGTTTTTAGAGTGCAAATATTTTAGTAAAATAAAAAAAAGGTTTTTGAAATGTAAAAAAAGGAGAATATTTCCAGCCTCAAGGGTTCCACTAATAATTAATCACATGTGATTGAAACAGGAAAATTGTAGTTGAGACTCCCATAATACATATTTTCTCACTGGGCTTTTTACATGCCGCAGGAATTCCTTTCATTCGGGGGGGGGGGGCACAAAAAAAGAGGCCCGGGCAAAACCACATGAAACCCCACCCAAAACAAATAAAGCTCAGCCTGAGTCACTTTCCTTATTCGCCCTGTACACAGAGGGTGTGTTGCACACAAGGAGACTCAAAGACAGACTTCTTTATCATACTTTCTTTAAACCCTCATTAGAATTTCAGATATATGAAGATTAAAAGCTGAGATAATTGAAGAAGTCATTCAAGCCTCTTTAGATGCTTCATGTATTGTGGTTTCACAAGCACCTTTCAAAAGTCCTTCCCACAGGAGGGACCTCTTCTTCTTTGTCTTCCTCTTCTTCTTCTTCTACATTACTTCCTACACTAACTTTTTGACTTACTCCACAACTTTGTATGATACAAAATTCTTCGGAGTACGGAGTGTTCTGCCTGTCCCAGTGTGATAAGCCGTCCTCATTTAATAATTGCTTATTTGACATTAGTTGCTCTATAAAAAGATTTCCTGATGTCACTTTTCCCTATTCCCTGGTTTTTACCTGTCTACCATTGTTAGATCAGTGATTATGTCAAGTGAAGAAGTGCAGGGTGGAATGAAGGACGTGTCACTGCAGTTTGAGGGGCTGGTATTTCAGGAATGAAATTTGTGACAGCCTTTCTCCAGCACCCAGAATGTACGAAATTCCTGGCGCCTCCGATTTCACAGATAAGGCTGGACTCAGTAGCTTTCAGTGATGTCATTTAGTCATGATAAGGCATTAGGTACAGTTATCCTTGTCTTAATACATGGTTAAGTGCAGAGTAGTCAGCCAAGCGTGGAGACACAGTCATTAGTGGGGATGGCAGTCTCTGGAGATATGTTTGTCTGTGGGGGGGTCAGAGGCAGTAAAGAGTTGGTGGTGGCAGGAAGGAGGGTCAGTACTGCTCTTTTGCAGCAGCTGCATGCATTCATGGAAAACAGATTAGGTTCTTCTCAGATTTCAGTGACAGGAGGAGCCAGTCATTCCCTCTGCCATCCAGTAAAAAAAAACGTCTTCCACCCCTACCTCCATCCTGAAGCCCTTAGACAAAAGGATAAAATAAAATGGGCTGTTCATTTTTTTCATATCTCACTTGGCCTTTGCCATATGAATGTGGCCTTAACGTGTCGGGCTCAGTTTAATCAGAGCAGGAATCTTTGTTATGTTGAGTGATGACTATGGATTTCATTAGGAGGCTGTTTGGATTCAGCTAATTCAATTAAACTGCATCAGTGGTGCTGTTAGTCATGTAGAGCAAAACAAAAATTGGGATGTAATCACAGATGATTTAGGCACAGAACAGTAAGCTCTACACATGACAGTAATGGCTTACTGTACATGTTATTGCTTCTGTGATTGTTTAGCAGTCTCTAAGGGACTGGATGGAAATTACTGAGATAGGGAGGGTACAGATTTTTTTTTAAAAATAATATCTTATTTCATTTAAAAGGGTCTCCCCAGTCTAATTACTTTTTCTTCAGTTAGAAAAATCTGCAATACCAGTCTTTGCAATATTGAACACAGAGCTATGAAATAAACTGTTTTCATAGTCACCAAATGAATGCAGCAGGCATTAGCAACAGTAAGAACAGACGACTGTACTGAAGAGATTTTGGCCTGCAGGATTTTCACCCCGCCCCATATCCTCTACATATGGCAAACTACACCTTTATAGCACATATGAAAACTATCTTTTTGATGTACCTATTTGATCTCTTTCTCATATAATAAATCATAAAATATATGGGGTAAGAAAACATAAAAAAATCCTCCATGGTTCTTTGAAAATAAAAAAGTTGGACTCCCCACCCTTCAGCAAATAAAAATGACATTCCCCCCCCCACTCCTTTTCTGAGCTGACAATTTATGTGCAGTCCCTGACCTCCTCTCTCTTTTTCATTTCTCTTTCTAGATCACATGAATCAGGACCAGGGCTCCTCACCAAACTCAGACGGCATCCTCGGCTCCAAAGTGGCCGTGTTCTCTGCCATAGGAGCTGGCTGTATCATTTTCCTTGTGCTCATCCTGCTCCTTGTCATCCTGCTCATTAAGATGCGCAAGCGTGGCAGGAAAAATGCTCACTCGCAGCCCCGCCCATCGGCACTGTCACTCAGCACGCTGTCCAATCCCAAGCTGCCCGGGGGCACGGCTGGCACGGAGCCCAGTGACATCATCATTCCGCTGCGGACAGAGAACAACTACTGCCCTCACTATGAGAAGGTGAGCGGCGACTATGGCCACCCCGTCTACATTGTCCAGGAGATGCCCCCACAGAGCCCTGCCAACATCTACTACAAAGTCTGACATGCTCCAAACAGCCAGCGACACAGCCGGGACAGAGAACGAGAGGAGTGCTTGATTTATGTTCTTGGGAAGAACACTTTCCTTTGCATCATGGGGACTTAATGCTTCTTCAAGCCCCTGTTATTTCTACCACCTGCTGCACAAATCTGGAGAGACACACACTGACCAGTAACCAGTGGGGTTGTGAGCTGATTGATGAGAGGGGTTCATTCTGTTTGTTTGGGTTGTCTGCCAACCCCCCCACCCTCCCCCACCCTCTACGTCTCCCTGCTGTGCTTTGACAGGGGGCGAGGCTGGAGCGAACAAACAAATGGAAGTCTTGCTGCCTGGTTCGCTGTCCCCTTTAATGGGCAGGACATAACTTATCTCAGTTCCCTGAAGTACAGTCTGTGCTACACCCAATTAAACACACCATCTTAGCACACTAGCCAGAAACAGGCAGACACAGGCCCCGAATGCCATTAAGCCTGCAGTTTGTGTGCAAGCCTAAAACACGAGTGTGTGTGTGTGTGTGTGTGCCTGCGTGCACGCGTGCATGTGTGCTAGTCAGGGCTCCTTGCTGGGCCAGGAAACTCTCCAGATAGCTCAGGTATCAGACGCAGTGTGTGAAATAATGTGCTCCTCTCCCTTCGCACCTCTGATGTTTGCCTTACTTAGTATTTTTGATGGAGGATTTCCTTGAACCCTGATTCAGTTCAAAAAAGCAGTTGTATTTTGTTAGACTTTTCCTACAAGTGCACAATGTATAGAGATGAATAAGTCATCATTATTACTCCATCTTCTCACCACCGACGTCATCTGTCGCGCTCGTTTTGTTTCCTGAGAGGTACCTTGACCTGGACTGTTGATGTTGAGGTGTGTATGTGCACGTGTGCCTGTTTCCACTGGTCTGATATCAGCTTTACTATTACTTTGCTACTTATGACCCACTTTTGCGTATCATACAATGTATGTCCCCTGTGAGTGTGTGTGGGTGTGTTTTTGTATGGGTTGTATTTGGGCATGACCAGACCTGTCTCGTTCCTCAGCAGACTTATTGGCTTAGGGGTAAAACAGAAAGTTACTGTATCACAGGCTTCAAAAGCACGACAGAAGGACTGACTTGCCGACTGACAAACATGCCCAAGATCCTACAAAACCCTTCCAGTGCTCCAGTTGGAACCAGTTGAAGGTTTTTTGTATGTGATGAGCTTTGGGAAGATGGTTTTTTAAGACAACAGGCATGGTGATATCTGTTTGTTCTAGTTTCTGGTGCTACAGTGTAAGCATCAAACAGTTAGTTTGGTGCCTGCTGCCTGGGAGAGGTGGGCGTAGGTTGGACGGTCGGCACTCATTGGCTGGTCTACATAGGTAGAATGCCCTATATATAAGTTGGATGCTGAGCTATGGATGAACATTGGAATACAGCATCGTCAGATGCCAATTGGCTGCCATCTGTTGATGAGTTAGTGGAGTGCACAGTCAGTGGCGTCGCCAGCGTGTGACTAATCTATGTGCCATCTCTGTGCCCACATTCAGCAGCCGGGGAGGAGAGAGAGCGAGCGGCGGATAAAGGAGAAAATGTTCCTGTGACTTGGCTTTAACCTGAGAGGAGGATGAAAGAGGGAAAGGAGATGAAGGGGGGGTGATGGGTGATGTGGGATGGGGTTGGGGGGGGGGAGATTAATTTTCCCATCCTCTCACCAGTTGTGCTGTGAATAAAAATGCTGTGCAGAATATTCCACAGTCAAGGTGTTCAGCCAGCGAGGACACAGCAGCTCAGCTATCACACAGCCCAGGGCAGTGGCACCGAGACAGGACTTACTGCAGCTGCTTGTGCGCACAGCGAAACTCACTTTCAGCTGGGGGTTGTTTGAATCTGTCTGCATGCACATGTAGGTGCTTCTGTGTGTGAGTGATTATTTGTGCTTATATTTGCAGTTTTTCCTCTTTGTGTGTGTGTGTGTGTGTGTGTGTGTGTGTGGGCTGGTGTTCCTCATGTTATGGGGACAGAAATCAGGACTCTGTATCCTTATGGGGGACAAAAAGCAAATACCCAAAACATAAATCATTAAATTTTAGACTGACAAAGGTTAGGGTTAGGTTAATAAGTCTGCAGGAAACGAATGTAAGTCAATATAATGTCCCCTGAAGTGATGGAAACATGACTGTGTTTGTATGAATGCTTTTGTGGTCTAGCAGCTGAACAGACTTGTTTCGGGTCTGGCTCTAGGTGCTGCAACCAATGTGACTGCCAAAGTACAGAGCACCGCAGCCCCAGTTAATGATGTGTGAGAGGAGAGGGGAGCAGATGAGGACAGCTATTCCTCAGTACGCTGACACGAGCTGACAGTTGACGTACACGTGCACACACACGCTCAGACACACCAAGGCTGACGGGTCCAGGTTTATCTCCAGTCGAACGGTCAGACTGCCGGTGAATGTTTATCCACCAGCAGAGACACCTATCATCTCCTGCCACATACTATTGCCATCCACAGATGCACACTGCTGAGTTAAAAGACAGCCCAGCTTGAAGACACTGGGAAGACTCCAGTGGCTTTTGCGTGTCGTTAACCTCAGAGTTAACAGCCTAAGCAGCTGTTCGTTCTTTTGTGGTTGTTCTTTTAACTCAGCATGCAGCCCTCTGTGGCCCTCTGTGAAACACATCTAGATTAAATATTTTTGTTTCGGATCAGTGCGCATTCATTCACCTACGCCAACCAAGGGAGTCATTACCAAATTACCACAAACCATATCTCATCCTCATTCATTTTAAAGACCACTTAATATTATTCAAAGTTGGTGGAGAAAAAAAATTAAAAAGAGATAACAGAGACTTGTAAATATATGGCTAGAGCCCAGTTTAAGATGTAACTTCACCTGAACACTGCTCATAAGAAAAATTTAAGATTAGATTTTTGTAATGGAGGATGTGTGTAAATAGCTGTCTTTTTAAAGTGTGTTTTGTATGAATCCTTGGAATTTTTGTCTCTGCTTGTTTTTTTGAATATGTTTTTAGTTTCTTTTCTTTTACAGTTAAACCGAATATTGCGACGGACATATGAGCTGTCTTTTTGCAGCGTCCAGTATTGTCAAAAGGTCAGAGTGTTAAAACAACAACAACAACTAAGGGTTCAGAGTTTTTACATCGCCATTCAGAAGGATTCTAGTTTCTCAGAAACAGTTCAAGACTCAAGCTTTGTCACCGAGCGGCTTCGAAATGGATAGGTCACTGAAACTATGAATGATAAGGTCCCTTCCCTGTTGGAGACAGCACTTAACTCTGAATATGAACACTCTGTTATTCTACTGTCTTTGAGTTACCTTTCCACTCTATTATAAGATGTAATAAAAAGCATTTTGGTCCAGAAAGATGAAATCTTTTTTTTCAGTTATAATAAGCCTGTTGGGCCAGAGAGAGAGAGACATAGAAAAACAGTGAGAGGAAAAAGAAAAGGGGCCACGTATGAGAATGCGCCCATGCTGCGCTCGCCAATAAATCATCCAGTTTACACCACTCATTATCTCCCAGGCGGTCCTTTGTTTTAAAGTTGCTCTCTCCTTCTTGTCCTCTCTCTCCACCCCTCTCCTTTGTCATCCCTTCTTTCCTAATTTAGCACAAGGATGTTGGTTGAGCCTCACTGTAGAGTGATTTCTGCTATTGTTCAAAGCCACAGTATTATTTTTCAGTGTGCATGTGTAAGCAAAACCTGTTGAATTTACTTTTCTTTGTTTGCATCATAACTGTCAAGTTTTGTTATTTTGTTTCTTTTTCTTTTCTTTTTTTTTTTCCATTCACTTTTTTGTTTCTCAGCATAACCTATTGGCACCAGCTACAATGGAAATAATGTTCCGCCAGTTTGGGAACTACTGCATATTGACAATTAAATTTGAAAAAAATAAATTTTTCCCATGGAACTTGTTCTGGAGTGATGTTTCTTTCTTTCTTCCCTGTTTGGTTTTCCTTTGTAAAATGTAGGCAGATCATGCCATTCCCCATCTCGCACTGACCACCTTGGTTCATGGTGGGAGCATAAACCAGTCGCCCACGCTCACAGCACTCCCCTCTCAGCCCCCCCGATCCCTCACCTCAGTGCTGCACAGATGGGTTTGTTCTGATACATTAGTCAGATTGAAATCACAAGCAGGCTTCATAAATTCATATCCAGAAAGTATGGACACGCCTTTTTGCATAGTAACTAATACCCATATCAACCCGCTCTGCCCTGGTGTCCTCCAAAATTACGTTTCTTCATACATGATTAAATCTGATTGGTTGCACTCTGCATTTCCATTGCGTTTGTCTGAAATTACAGTCTGTGTTTATCCAACTGAGGAGCAAACTCCAAGTCCTTGGTGAAAGCAGAGATGGCATGAAATGTTATTAAAGTGATTGGGTATTTTCTCTGACGAACACATCAGTGTTTGTGGGCATGGCGTTTATGAGACTGATGATGTGAGCGATGATGGAGTGGGCGAATGGAGAGAGTGACGGCAGGAGAGAAGAAGTGAGGA